ATAGTGACTGTGGGGTCTTCAATGGCCACAAATTCATTGTGTTTCTGGAATATCCAATTTCCTGAATGAAGCCTGGCCAGATGCTAATAATTAGGGTTGTGCATAGGTGATAGAAAATCTCAGACTGATGCATCAGAAACAGGGCTGTCGGTTATTTTAAGAACATTATCACCACCTGAACCTTTAGATCATAGAATATCCTCAGCCAAAACCTTGGCAACCTACTGAGATATCATAAATAAAAAAGACCCTGTTTATGTGTTCATATATTTATATTCATGGGAGTTAATGAATACCTCTTGTATATGACTAGAGACTTTGTAGGAGAACTATTACATAATACTAGATAATTATTGCACAACATTATCCAAGTACCAGAATAACTTCATATGTAATGCTACAAATCATACTACACTAGATAGGATAGCTATGTGAAGGTGACAATAACTGCTTCTCTTGAGCAAGAGACATAGAATTATTTGCCACACAAGCACAATGATCAGAGCTCAAATTCCAGAAACTCTGTAAAACCAAGCACTATGGCATTCCTATAATCATAGTGTTTGTTTAAAGAAATGGGAAGCAGTGTCAGAGGAACATCTTAAAACTGCTGGAAAATATAGCCTACTCAAAATAGTGGTAAAATAACAACAGGTCCAATCTTAAACAAGGTAGAAGGGAATCATTGACACCTGAGGATTCCATCTGTCCCCTAGATTAATTTTGTGGTATATGTGGAATACCACTAACACATGAAAACACACACACACACACACAAACACAGACACACACACACACACACACACACACACACACGCACGCACGCACATACATACACACACACTGAGAAAAACACATACCCACATACACATGAGAGAGAGAACTTAGCAAAAAAGTGTTTCTCATATATTTCTGCCAATATAAATATCCATAGTTCACACTTGTCAAAACCACATGAATTCAAAATATTCTAAAATATACATAGGAAAAAAATTTCATAAATTTTAGTATAGTGGGACTCAGAAAAGACTTTCTTAATTGAAGGAAATTAGTAAAACATAAAATAATTTTAATATGCATTTAAAATCTTGAACTCAATGTGTGATTTAAAACAATAATGTAAAATTTTATTGCAGCTTCTAAAACAGTCATAGAAACCCAGTCATTGATAATCCAACAAGCTATCCAATATAACTAAACTGAGGGAGAGGAACAGGATACATATTTAAAATTGCAGTCCATAAGAAAGTAACTGAAACTGCACGGTCCCCCGATGCATAATCATCTGATATTAAGGAGAGCACATTATTGTAATTCACTGTGCTGCTCATGGTCTTAAAGAATTATGAGGACATTCATAAAGTCTAAATTTGTCTCCAAGGACCTGGGGACTTTCAGGATCAAGAGGCAATTTCCTTAGGTCAAAGTAGTAGCAGTTTGTCTTTGAGCATGTTTCCCTGGCAGATTGAATGTAACAGAAAGTTATTATCAGAGAAACCTTATTCTCAAACTATTCATAGAATCACCATGATAATTTTAATTTTGGTTTGTTAAGTGCATTGTATTATGACTAATAAATTAATTATATTTCCTTGAAATCTCTACTTACCTTTCCGACCATATCCTTTATTTACATACTTACAGTCTTTGCAATATTTTATATAATTTTCATTGTACATTTATTTGAACATTCCTTACTCTCTATAATCCAGCATGATTACATTCATATTGACATAATAAAAATTTCAATACTTAAATATTTATTCATCTCATGTTATGTTACAAATGTACTATCCTTACATATCTGTCATCTTTTATAAATGTCACTTTATGAGTAATGTATTATTAATATATTGGCTTTCCTTAAAGCGCGCGCACACACACGCACACATACACACACACACACACACACACACACACACACACACACACACACACACACATATATATATATGCAAATACCTTAATATTGATTGTATGTATATTTCTGTTGAGTCTGTTTTCCTTCTTATTTTTTATGTTCACAGTCATTGGTTTAAAATGTTTGTGATTTTAGAACATCTAAATATCTGCATCTATCTGATGTGTTACAGAAATAGATATATGGTAAGTTGAGTATGAAATGTGTCATTGGGTCTTGGCCAAAAAGATTTAACATTACAATAAATAAAAGAACATGAATTACATAGCAAAGAGAAATAAGAGAGAAATTCTGCCCTTAGGTTATTAAAATTATAAGCTTTTCGCAACTGATGGTATGGATCTTAGAGCTGAGTTGAAGCAGTCAAGGAAAACAATGGAGTGCTGTAATCAGAATACCATAGAGTTCCTGGTTAATTGTACATTTGCTGAGAAAACCATGTGTAACATTTGCCACAAATCTGACTGCCCTACAGTAATCTCTATGTGATATGTGTAAGTGAGATTTGAAGAGCCTCATATGCAATTCATTGTACATATCTTAACATTTAATTCATAATGTGTTTGATGCCTCTTTCCATTAATTTAAAAGTAGAAAATTATCCTAGTATTTTCACAGAACACCATATGCTTTGAGTTTTAATAAACACTCTTCTGGTATATCAATGTATATTTTCTAGATATCTATAATTTTATGATAAATGATTGATAGTAGGTAGAAAGATAGATAAGATAGGTAGATGATTAAATTTTTGACAGATGATAGGTACATATATGATAGATAGATGAAAGAAAGATAGATACATAGAGACATATATTCACAAATGATAGATAGATAGATAGATAGATAGATAGATAGATAGATAGGAATAGGTGAGATGTACAATGACAAAAATTTTAGTGATGGAGGCTGAAGATTTACTTTGAAGAATTTATTCTCATATAGAGTACTATATTATGCCATATAATAATAAATCGTGTTACCCCAATACTTCAAAGAGCCAGAAACATTTTATTTCTCACTTCCCTACAGTTTTTCTGATTTTGCAGAATGATTATTCTTTGTTGCTAGCTACAAAATTTTTATTTAAAGGCTTTATTTGTAAGGACATATTATTTATCCTAGTAAGCATAATGAAAGCCTTAATTGCTTGTTTTATGAGGCAAAATTCTAATAGCATAGGTTTGTGTGTGTGTGTGTGTGTGTGTGTGTGTGTGTGTGTGTGTGTGTGTGTGTGTGTGCGCACGTGTCCTATGCATATTGTTTTGGTTTAAAAATAGAGTCTGTGATTTTACAAAATTCATGCTGATATTTCAAATTTACACAAAGTCTGCTGAACACCATTGCCACTGAATAAACCTTTGTCTTGAAGTATGTTGCACTATTTCTCCTCCTAGAAACTGTGTTTTCTGAGATTAATTTCTAATGAGACATATTTCTTTCTGATTGTTGTAAATCTGTTGCAATCATAACACTGCTTTAGAAAGACATCTCTTTATTAGAAAACACCCTAGACATGCAGCCTGCCCTGTGAACAGTAAATCTAGAAATTTACATGAACTATCTTCAGCTGGTTTCTCACATGACTGAGAGACTGTGTTCTGGAATGTATGACAGGTTGCATTCATGGTGTAAAACTCTTATAGTAAATCCATGTGACACTTCCTTAACTGCTGAGGTGACTCTACCCTTCCTTAGTGAGTACAATCTTCCTTGGATAGTTAGGATATGATAGGTAAAGCAATGATCCTCTAAGATATATCAGACATAGAGAATATAACCATGCCTTGTACTTATGGATCAAGTTTTAATCTGAGAGCATTAAGTATTCCTGCAAAATATGATAGAGACTAGTAGTTACTTTGAACTATAACTATGGCTTGCCTACAGTGATGCAAAATTCAGGACATAATTTGAAATTTCCTTCATAGGACTAAGGGGGTGTATCTATTAATCAAAGTCTTGCTACTGCCAAGCAAGGCACAGATTTCAGATCCCCTGAACCCACATAAGAAATCAGATGTGGCAGTGTGTTCCCATAATCCAAGTACTGTGCAGAAACAGTGGGAAGACTGACAGCAAGCCACCTAATCTTACTGAATAGCGATACAGTGACTCAAAAATATGGTAGAGTGAATGAAGAATTACTCTATGTTTATCTCTGTTCTCCACATCACAAGCATGTATGTACATACATATATGCATAGGAACATTTATATGCACCCTAAATAAACTTTCATTAAAGGTAAAATATTTTACTTACCAAATCTTGTTGTATGCAAAATAGGACTTTTCAAATTTAAGATGACGGAAAAATATTACAACTAATTTATATTCTTCTCTTTTTTCTTGAGTTAGGGTCTCTAGTAGAGCAGGATAGACTTGAACTCAAAATGTAGACATTGCTGACTCTGAATTTAGGATTCTCCTGGCCTCCATGCCCAAGTGTTGGTTTCAAAGATATGCATTGGCCATACCCAGCTCAAATTTAAGTTCTTAATAATAATGAGGTCCCTGTACTTCAATAATTATTTTCTAACAATTTCTTCATTCTGGTAGATTTAAGATTTAAAGGCACAGGAAACATGCTTAACAAGAAGAGGGATTTTTTTATTTTTTGTTTTTTTTGTTTTTTGTTTTTTGTTAATTCTAGGAAATACACAAAGAAGGAAACATACTGCCTTTTTTGGTTCTTGTTTGGTTCCGATGCAATGCATATGTCAGTAGTTTACTTTGAGCCAATAATTACTGTATGTTGTTCAGGGATATTTAGTAGTTGTCTCCATCACTGAATTCTGACAATGGCAATCAAATTCATGTCTGAATGGATGATACATTTAAGTGTAAATAGATATTATGGTTGCAAGTAAATTAATTATTTTGGAAATAGTTAGGAATGCTACATATTCTATTCATAATCAATCATAGAGTTGAGGGAATAATGAAAGTTACTAAAGCAAATTAAATTTTTACATGTGAACAATAATGATCTCCTATAAATCAGATATCTATATCAGCATGCAGAAAAAGTATTGAAGAGTCGTCATGGCATCTGACAGAAATACATTTGTGTACTCACCCACAGGAGACATTTCTGGAACACTAGCGACATAAGGTCCATCCAAAAACTTTGGCTCATTATCATTAATATCCTGCACTTTAATGATGAACTCGGATTCAGGCTCCAAAGGCTTTCTGGTTTCTATGTCCACTGCCTGAGCACGAAGTGTATAGAAAGGTTTCTCTTCTCTGTCCAGACTTCTTATTGCATGAATGTCGCCTGTGGTTTCATCAATTGTAAAAACCGTGCCAGCTCCATCTCCAGAGAGTGTGTATTTAACAGTGCCCTCTCCTTTGTCCAAATCAGAATGCAGCTGAGAAAGAACACAGAGACACAGTGATATTTACATGCAGTTCAATTTATTTAATCTGATAAGTTAAATTACTACTTTATAAACTTTCATGTTACCACTATAACTTCTTGATTACAGAAACTTAAAATGTGGATGATGAGATGATTCAGAAAGTTCAGACTGTGTTATGGATCGAGAGGGCCTGAGTTCAACCACTAGAACCCATGTAATGCCAAATATAATAGAAAGAGCCTTATCTGTCATACTAGCTTTGGTACTACAAGAAGGAGGTGGAAACAGGAGACGTGCTAAAAGTGTAGAGGCAAACTGTATGTATATAAGACAACAAGGAAAAGTCACTGTTATAAATGAGATAGAAGGTGCAGATGAACAATCAAAGTTGTCCTATGATCTCTATGCAAGCCGGGGCATTCACATGCTGTATATACATGCACACATACAAGAAATTATTATAAAGGAATGATAGCAATTTCAAATTCACAAAATTTTTAATGCACTAGCTACATGTGAACCTATATTTTCTGATAGTCAAACATTTGGATTTCTACTTACATGTTGCATAAACAATTTAATTACATTATACATTATAAATATTAGAAATTTAACAGTTTGGAACACTAGCAAGCATAAAACAATTTATTTTGAAAGTTTTATTTAGTTATTAAACATCTTTTCAAGAATATCATTCATAGAGTGAAATGAGACACATCTTGTTTAGGAATTATTTCATTTTAAATGATCATTGTTTAAACTGATTAATTCAGAAATAACAAAGTAAAAGCTCCCACAAGATAGGAAGATAGAACCCAAGGACTGAATCCAGCAGAATATGAGATATAAAGAAATTATGGAAACATTCCCTAAAGGAAAGGGTGAATTCTTTCAGTAAGTTGAAAAACAACTTCTCATTTTCAAACCAGTTTTCCAAGGTTAGGTGATTGGTTGGGAAAACTCTGTGACTATTCTTTCAGCATAACAATCGACTTACTTGTATCTGGTTTTGTGTAAGAAATATCCATGAATTATAATCTAGAAATATTTTAATTCAATTGTTTTATTTTGATATTCAACATATGTTCATATTAGTATATCATGGAATTTACTTATTTTTCCTCAAGAGATTATTTTTGTATTAGTTCAAATTAGAAACAAGGCTGCTTCACATGGCAATCACTTCTCCCTCCTCCTCTCCCTCCCAACACCCCACCAGCCTGCCATATCATCCCCCTCTGCTGCGTGGGGAGGGTAAGGCCCTCCCTGGGGGTTTCCCAAAGTCCAAAGTCACTCATATCATCATGGGGAGGGCCTAGTCCCCCCATGTATCTAGACTGAGAGAGCATACCTGTCATGGAATTTTTCACATTAAGGTCAAACAAAAAGAGACTCAAGCAAAAATATGTTTGTCATTATGATATGGTGAGTCACCATTATTCAAAGTGCAATCCAAGAATAACTAGAAGATGAACAAAGACTTGGAGATCTATAAGCCATCTCAAAACAAACAAATACCTATATTAAATATGATTTACATGAAATATGTTACATATAAGTTTGTCAGCCATACTATGTACATAAAATAAATCAAATGTACTAAATGTTTTAACATAATATGTATTCTTTTTATTTCAATTTTAATTTATATGTCTGTATGTGGATATGAACATTTGAGTGCACTACCCACAGAGGCCAGAAGAAGGTATTTGGTCCCAGGAAGCTTGATTCATGGGTGGTTGTGAGTTTCCTGTTGTGGGTGAGTTCTCAGCAAAAGCAGCAACAACTGAACTCTGATCATATTGTCAGCCCCCAAAATATGTGTTATTTTTTGTGAGTTTACATAGTTTATTTTGTAATAACAACTCCTATTATTATCATTATTTTTATATAATAATGACTGAAAATTTTTCTGCCAACTGTGGCTACCATGTACAGCCCAGAATCCCAATGAACATGAGGACCTTGCCTCTAGGAACCTAACTGGGCACAGAGGGCTTCTTATGACACAGTGAGAGTCAGGGCTCATCTAGTTTAGGGATGACTGATATTAGAAATACATACACACAAGGAGACCAGTATAGTTAAGAAACACAGGCACCCAAGATGCATGGCAATGATTAAGTCTAACCCTTATAGACAGTACAGGAGCATTTCAGTTCAGCTAGTAGGCCACAGGTTAAGCCCTAATATGGAAGCCCAGGGTTTTCTTCTGTAAGACAATGATACGTTTTCAGGAAATGTGTCAGATCACTCCTTTTAATAGATTCAACTGGGCAGCTGTTGATTTCATTATACAAAGGATTCTCCTAACTAGTCAGTGCAAGCAAGCTCCTACTTGCTGGACACCCAAGAGCTGTGAGTCACTGCTAGTTGCCTAGGTGACATGGTGCTTTGCTCCAAGCTGATCTGTAGGGTTGGGCATTAGCAATCTTAGAGCTGTACCCTAAAATCAGGAACAAGACAAGACTGTCCACTCTCTCCATATCTCTTCAATATTGTACTTAAAGTTATAGCTAGAGCAATAAGACAAGAAAAGGAGATCAAAGGGATACAAATTGGAAAGAAGTCAAACTTTCACTTTTGCAGATGATATGATAGTCTACATAAGTGACTCAAAAAACTCTACCAGGGAATTCCTTCAGCTGGTAAACACTTTCATCAAAGTAGCAGGATACAAAATTAACTCAAAAAAGTCAGTAGCCCTACTATATACATATGATAAATCCAATAAGAAAGAAATCAGAGAAAAATCACCCTTCACAATATCTACAAGCAACATAAAATATCTTTGGGTAATGCTAACCAAAAATGTGAAAGACCTGTACAGTAAGAAATTTGAGTCTTTAAAGAAAGAAATTAAAGAAGATACCAGAAAATGGAAAGATCACCCATGCTCTTGGATAGGAAAAATATGTGTTCTAATAATTATGTTACTTTCATTCATACATTATTGAAAATATTTTAAGCAGCTCATTTGAGTATAGATATTTGGTTTAATTATTCAAGTTTACATTGAAGAGTCTAGTTTAATCAGCACATCACATAAGGAAGCATGCTATACTTTGATAGTGACTGTAATCATTTTTGACCATGAAATTAATATCCATATATATTTATTGTTATACTAGAAAATATTTTGTTTTGATGACTCTTGGTTTTATTAATGTTTCAAACATAAGTAGAGCTTTGAAATTATTTTAAGTTGCATATTCTTTCTTTTACATGTAGATTTCTGTGAATTGGAATTAAATTTATCACTGAAAAATGCAATTAATAGTGTAATCTCTGGATATACCTTTAAATGTCAAATTGAACACTTCTGTTTAGTTTCTGTATAGTAAAACCATTAAAAATGTTATTAAGATGAATTTATGATATCATTAATTTGTATTTGTATATGCATTTTCTCTGCAGTGTATTCGGTATAGTATATAATCATATTAATTTTGTGGATGATTGAGGGAAATATTTAATGAAACATGAAAATGTTAGACTCTATGATTTGGAATATCCTTTAAAAGTTTTTATGCATTTTATTTCAGCATAATGGAAATTGCTAGGAATGATGGGATGATGGTTTTTTTTTTCCATCCTATCTTTTAAAACTGCTGTAAAGCATGGGGAATTTGAAGCGTAAAATAAAGCTGTAGAAAAATGTTCTTTGAACTTATGAATTTCAAATCACAATTGTCAACCACACTATTAAAGATATTCAATGCAGTGGGTATTACTTTAACTTTCAAATTTATGTTAAGGTATAAGAAAGGAGAAGGCTCAGTGCAGTAGGGATGGATTTATGAGCAGTAACCAGTTTGCTATGGCTTAAAGGATATATGCAGATATTTTTGGAACTGAGTGAAATTCTTAATTGGGTTTTCACAGTGAGATTCAAGTAAAGTTAACAAAAAACCTATCATTTTATTAAAATCAAAACTGTTTTCTTTTCAAACTGACTCAAGAATATAAAAAGCAGATATGCTGTCATTCTTATCAAAAATTCAAATTAATTCCAGTTTCTGTCATTCCCTCTTCTAACTTCTACCATTAACCTTTTAATGTAAAAATCTAGTCTTATTGAGATTGAGCAACCAGAAGCAATACATTAAAAATACTAGAATGTGTTAGCTAAAATAAATTGATAAATGCACAATTCACTTTAGTGGTGAACCACACAATGGTATCTTTTAAAATATTTTAAATTTAGGTATACAAGTGTTTTGTCTGGATAGATTTCTGTTCCCGACACCAGCTCCTGGCTTCCAGGGAGACCCAAAGAGGACACTACTCTATTGGAACTGGAGTTACAGAGTTGTGAATCATTAGGTGGGTTCTAGAGACTGAAGCCAGGTTCTCCGAAAGAGCACCAGTTGATGTCAAACACTGAGCTATCCAGCCTCTAGAGGCCAAAATAAATGAAGAAATCACTGGCACTCACAGGCTTCTTAGGCATGAGTTACCAATACTGATTAACTTTGATTGACTGAGTTGTCCCAGTGACCAGAACTGAATATAGGGGTTTAGCCACCATCAAATGACCAAGTATCTAACTAACCTACATGTAAATTAATGGCAATTAATCTTGGAATTGGCTATTGTAAAAAGTTTACTTAGTGAAAATGTAACACAGTTTCAATATGAAATTGTAGAAGATAAGATAAATCCTGTCTTTACCTGGTGGTATCTTTTTTAAACATAGTTTTTGTTTTTTGTTTTTTTTTTTGTTTGTTTGTTTGTTTTTTCTAAAGACAGATTCCCACTGTATTGTCCTGGTTGGCCTAGAACTCCCCATGTAGGCAAGGCTAGTCTCTAAGTCACAAAGACCCATCTATACCCACCTCCCGAGTGCTGAGGTTAAAAAAGTGTATCGCTATGTCATCTAACTCTTCATATTTTGATCATTTAGGTGTGTAAATTTAGTAGACAAAAATGGTGAAACTATTATATATTGCTCCACAAATACAACCATATAATCATTTCTCTGTGTACCTATATTTGATTAAAAATCA